TAATAACAAGTTCCCAGCTACATAACACCTGGTCTTTACAACCCAACTCATTATGAATGTATTCCAAGTTGTCACTCTGGGGGTTTTATTGTTTCCACCTTAGTTGGAGTTTTTTCTTACATAGATGGAGGCTGCTGGTCCATGTTCCCTTGGTTAGTGAAAATTGAGTTTCAGTCGTTCCTGACTTTGAGATGTTTCAGTGATGTTGGAGAACAGTAGGAAAGAAGGGACTGTTGACCTCCAATACTTCTTGGAAGATAAGTCTCTCACAAACACAAAAGAACTGAGATAATTACTGTTGGACATTGGACTAGGAGGAAGGATGAAGATATGAGGCAATGGCTAAGATGGAGAATTAAGAATTGCCTTTTGGTTTGTGTTTAGGATTTTAGATCCTAAAACAGCTAGATGTCTGACTTGGGAAGGCAGAAGAAGAGCTGAAAAGATGGAAAACAACTTCTCGATAGCCATCAAATCAGTTTCCCTTTCCATGAAGTCCACTGGTCTCCCTGATACATACTTGTTTGGTTTATGTATAGCATCAGGGTGATTTTTTAAAAGTCTAAATCAGATGTATCACTCAAGGAGCTGAAACCACCCAATGGCTTAGAAGAACCTGCCAGATCTGCATTCTGCCTGCCTCTCCCATCTTGCCTGTGGTCCTCCCTATCAGCCTTACTACATTCCAGATATTTGTTCCCTGATGGGTTGTTTATGTACAAGCTTTTCTAGTCACAGGATCTTGGACTGTGTTATTGCCCTTCTCCACCATTCTTGGCTAATGCCTAACTATGCAAGATGCAGTATGTCTCAGTGGTTAAATATGCAGTGTCAGACTGCCTGGTCATATCCAAGCTTTACCACTCATCAGCTGTGTGACTTATAATAAGCTGCTTTTACTCTCTATGCCTCTGTTGTAAATCAGAGTTGATAACAGTGTGTCCCTCACAAGTATAATTATGTAGATTAAATGATACATGTAAATGACTTAAGTCAAAGCCTACTGTCTAGAAAACACACATTAAATGTTCTTCCTCATTATCTTTTAGGTATGAGCCTAAATATCACTTTTTGTAACAGATTTATCTGATCTTGACCCTTTCCTTCTATTATTCTGCATGACATCTTTTTGTACAGAATGCTTTCTTTCTTTTATAAGTTTATAACCACTTGCGCCCCATATGTTTTTTTTGTCTCTACTACACTATAAACTCCATGAGGGCAACTATACCACCCAATAACTAACACATTGTGCAATGCTAATAGTCATGCGTTTGATACCCAACAAACATATTTATGAGTGAGCTGATAGTTGGGGACCAAGTTTGTGAATGCTGATAGTATGCTGGGAAGACCTTGGTGCCTCAGAGGGACAGGGCTGGTCCAGAGGCTAGTGAAGTTCCACTGCACTACTTTTCAAGATGTTATCTTTAGATTGTATTTTAAGATGTTGACATATCAAAATCAAATTACTGGACCAAGCTCAAAATTTACACATCCATGCCAAGACTAAATGCTCTTTTTTGGCAGAAAATTTTTTTTTTCAGTTTTGCCACAGGATCTCAGCCAACCTGGAATTGGTGTGAATGAACTGTGTAAATGAGACAATCATCATCCCTTTTTCTCTTTCCATCCTCCTCCTGCTCTGCTCTTTAAAGTGCCTCAGTATTTGACTCAGTTCACTGCTTCAGTGATGTGGTATTGTAGAGTGCTCAGCTACTTCCTGGGTGGGAAGTTGACGATACTGGCATGGGCTTGCATTTCTTACTCATGTTTTAACTTGGGCTTTGTTATCTTCATTATTATCATTTATTTTGTTTAATTTTGCTTCTTGTTCATTTTGTTTACATGATGCTTTCTCATCCAAGCTTGTTAGACTGTATGGGGAATATCTTGTTCAGGAATAACAATGACAAACATAAAAATATGAACATTTAAACTCCAACAGCGCTTGGATAAGCAAGGGTTACTTTCCTCTGTAACACTAGCTTTGGTTTACACTAGGGAACTAATCCCAGCAGGTTTTCTATCCCTCCCCTCTTCCATTGTTCTATTGTTTGTTCTTTACTTGTTAGAAGTGATGGTGACTGGGACCTTTGCTATCAGTGTTTGCTGGGTTATGGGAATTTCTAACCTCCAGCTTATTTTCCACCCCTCTTGATCTGTTCCTCACAGATAACAATGCCACCAATTTTCAAGGCTACTTCTGTCTGTATCTTTTCCTTGGTCCCTTGTTTCCTAACATCTCTATTCCTCTCTTATAGTCTTCTTTGCCCACTTCTCTTCCTGCCTAGACTATCCTTCAAATGCTTCTAACCTAATCTAGATTTTAAGGCCAGTGCTTTTATTAGGACTAAAGCTGTCTTGACAAGAAACTCATTTTATCAGTAAAGCTTATTTAAAACAAAAATTAGGGTTTTGGAACTAGAAGTGGGAAGAGGGAGTCAGAATGAATCTTTTTTTCTGCATTTCCCCCTATGAGATTTGTTCATTTTGTACAACGTCAGATAAGATTTTGGCATCTTACACTCTGACTTTGCTGAAATACTATGGTCAGCAGGATGCCTTAAAGAGGAGGGATTATTCTGTAGGTAAAAGGCAGGGAGAAGTGATGATGTTTAATACTATGGTTCTTTGTATTTAGAAGTCATTTAGCTCTCATTGTTCCTCTTTTCTTTTAAGAAGCCTCATGTAGGGGCTGGGAAAATGGCTTGGTCAGTAAAGTGCTAACAACACAAGCATGAGAATCTGAGTTCTGATTCCCAGTGTCCATGCAAAAAACCAGGAGCAGTGGTGCATGCCTGTAATCCATGTTCTGGGAAGGCAGAGACCGGCAGATCCCTGGAGCTTGCTGGTCAATCAGTCCAGCAGAATCAGTGAGTTCCAGGTTCAGTGAGAGACCCTGTCACACAAGTAAGGTGGATAACACTTGAAGAAGACATCCGGTGTTCATTTCTAGCCTCCAAGTGCATGCACACACACATGCACTTGCACACACATGAACAGATACATAGATATACCATGCACACACATATACACACACAAAAAGCCCAATGTATATGACTTAATTAGCATACAACTATTATCTGTATTTTTAGATTAAAAAACAAGAAGACCAAATTCAAGAGACAGAGTAGGGAACTCTTATGAGTACCCTAAGTGATTGCTGAGGTGGTGCATGGGATTAGTGAGAATGAGCTAGAGTATTAAATTCAGAACACATGTTGAAATCAAACTGTGAGAGTAAGAAAACATACATACGGCATTGCTGCTGAAGAGGGAGGGAGGCTTAAGTACTTAGATGTCTGCGAATGACATGCTCAAAAGTCATCTTTCATAGCCCATTCGAGAAAGGTTGCAAAGCCACGCTTTTTTCAATCCAAATGTGTTAGCATGGGAGGATCCTGAAGGCACAGCATTGATTCTGGGAAGCCTGAAGCCTGGGAAGCCCCTGTGTAACACTTTGGGAAAGCAGAAATGTTTTTCTTTGGCTGTTGTTCCTCAAGTTACTTAAATGAGGCCCATTGACTATTTATCTGTATATATTGAGAGTACAATAAAAGGTATGGATCAATTTCTCTTTCCCTTGGCTCATGGACTTGGCATTTGTAAACTCTTGGGAGTAACAAATCTTGTGGTCTTGGATTTGAGGATGTATTTTGAGATCTGGATGACAGTTGATATATTTTTAAGACAATGATCCAGGAAGAAATGCCTAACTCTGAATGTGACCACAGTGCTCTGTGACAGTAGTGATTTCTGTTGAAGGTGTGTGGCTTCCCACTTTCACAACCTGTCCCACAGCAAGCTCCTCATCAAAATATTCATGTCTCCATTTACAATGGCACTTCCATCCTTTTGATTTGTTTTTTTCCCATGTGACAGATCCTGGCTGCTCTATTTATCTCTTGAATCTAATTTGTACTATGACATCAAGCTTTAATTTTATCATTATTATTTTTGCTTCTTTTAAAACATCCATGGTGTGCGAGGCCCTGGATAAAATGAAAAAGATACATTCCCTGCTGTCACCGGGCTCAGGCTTTTAAAGAGAAACGACAGGCAAAATATTCAGTAATTGGTAATAGGTAGTCGTTCCCGACGGACCGCCTCCCCACCACCTTGCTCCCTTCTCTCTTTTTAAAGCAATCTCATCTCTCTGAACAATCTTAAGGAGTTATCTGGATCAAAGCTGTCAGAAACCAAGAGGGTTTAGAACAAGTGTCAGAGTAGGCAAAAGGACTTTCAGAGCCCAGGCTCTTCTCCTAGCCTGCCTGTGGGCTGAGTCTCACTTTTGCCTGCCTCACCTGGGTGGGCTAGGACTCTCCAGCTCCAGGCTGCCTTTGGCAGCCCTACCCAGGAGGTGAACTTTTCTGAATAGCACCCCTGGCACTCTCCCTCTAAATCCAGCCCCAGAGCTAGAGCTTTTCCCAAGCATGTAGTAGACTTGGGTTTACAGCAGCTGGGACCCAGGGAATACCCAAGCAGATGCCCAGCTCTCCGTGGATCCTCAGAGACTCCCCAGGTGTGTCTCATGCTCTTTCTCCTATACACCCTACTGGGATCCTCTTTGTCTTTTTCCTAGTGGCACTAAAGCCATCTGAGCAGGGGTAGAGGACTTCGGAAATCCTGGCAAAATGCCAGTGAGTGTGTGCTGGTGAATGTGAGGGTTTGGTGGGTTATAAATCAAGGCCAAAAGCCAACCCACTCACTTGTCCTCTTTTTACCCCATCTTTCCTTGGACTTCCTCTATGCCTGCCCCAAGTAGCTTAAAGCAGTTTCCTGCAGCAGCACTCAGTGGGTCATCTAGTGGGCAACTGCACCCCCTCCCAAGCCTTAAAGTTGGGAGAAAACAGTTGCGAGGTGCAGAAGAGCTGGGGTTGAACCAGCGGCGGCTCACCAAGGGGAGCTGGCAGAAGAACCTGGGGTCCAGAGGGCGCGCTGGTTAGGGGAAGGGGAGGAGGAGGACTGAGAGGGGGATAAGGGGAGGAGGCAGAGGGATGAAGGAGGGGCTTTGGAGCAGCTGCTGTGGGAGGCGAGGCATAAGGTGGCTCCCCGCTGCCCGGCGCCCCGCGGCTCCCGGGGACACACCAGGCAGCCAATGGCTGCGCAGAGGTGTACAGCAGATGGCGTCCGACTGCGCCGTTCCTTCCTCCTCCTCCTCCTCCTCTTCCTCCTGCTTCAGTGCTGAGCAGCCAGAGTCGCCGCCGGGTTGCCAGACGCTGGAATGGGTGGTCTCCCGACACACACCACCATCTTTCTCACACAGGGGAAGCTCGGGGTTCAGCGGCTCCCAGAGGCTGCAGCTGCGGCTCGGGCGAGGCTGGTGAGTGTGGCCGCGCTGCGCCCAGAGCGGGCCGGGGATGGATGCTCTGGGTCCCCCTGGTCAGCGCCAGGCTGGAGGTGGTGGCTGCCTGGACCAGGGGGGCGCCACCGGCAAAGACTTTGCGCTTCCCTAGCCAGGCAGCCTCCTTTGCCCCTTCTCACAAGCTGACGCGGGAACTTGGAACAGGATCCTCTCCGCTGCCTTTGACCTGGGGCTGTGGGAAGGCTTGGCGTCCAGGGGGCAACGTGGTGAGACCCTCTAAGCCAGCGGACTGGGTGGGCAGAGACATCCTACGCTAGACTTAGGCACGGATCGGATCTCAGTTGGACTGAGCCTTGAATGGGGCGTCAGAGACAGCTCTGTTCTCAACACCCTTGGCTTGCTTTGTGCGGGATGAATGGAGCCCTGGGGTTCTCCATCCTGACCTGGGAGCCTCCAAGCTTCAGATCTGAGAGCAGGGAGTTCTGTGAGCTTTTCAAACGGGTCGAATGAGGGGTTCCCTTTGGGTAGCCTGGACTGCGAAATCTGCCGGTGGAGGGAGGGACCCGGGAGGATAGCTGAGCAAGCGAAGAAGTTTTGTAGCGTGCTCTGTCCTCTGATTTATTGGTGGAGTGACAGAAGGCCACAGCAACAGTTTACAAGTCCATGGTCCCCGCGGGGAGCTTGCTGGTGGAGAATGGGGCTCAGGGCTCCGTCCGACATGACACTAAGTAGCTTTTCCAAAGAAAACCGAGTTTATCCTGTCAGAGCGGGAGGCAAGGAGGAAGCGTACTTTCTCCCCCATTCCCCACCTTCATCTTCCATGCTCTATATGCTATTAAAGTTATTTGAATAGGGAAATGAATCTCAGCTCTCTGGCATCCACATATGTTGAGACTTGAAGATGAAAAGCTTGGAGTGTGTGTGTGTGTGTGTGTGTGTGTGTGTGTGTGTTGGGAAGGGAGGCAATATGCATTCCCCCGGCAGGCAGCTCTATCTCTTTTTAAACAAATACTCGCACGTACGCGTGTACACACACACACACACACACACACACACACACACACACACACACACACCGCACGCTTTATTCATAGGGAAGGGCATGCCATCTAATGGTACTATTTCTTTTTGGAATCCTGGAAAGGTGGGCATTCCTAAAAGCTCTTGTGAATCCATTTTATCTAGTCAGTGGAGTTCCAGTGAGACTAGGGGAGTTTGGCATGGTCTGTGGAAAGCGCCAGGGTTCAGTGGTGCTCTTTCTAATGCTAAGGTGGTCTGCTGGTAGCCTGCTACTGTCCACCTTTAAGAGCATCTGACCTCTTACATGATAACCTGGCAGAAGGCGCCTGCTTGTATTCTCAACACACCTGTGAGTGCTCTGTGATTATCAGAGGGATATACTTGTAGGCAAAGTCTCAGGCAGGGGTCACAGCCTCTGGGCATCTCTCTCTCTCTCTCTCTCTCTCTCTCTCTCTCTCTCTCTCTGTTGTGTGCCTGGAGTTTTCTTTTGACAGGCCATCTTTGGATGTCAGGGAGGCTCTCTTGTCCCCCCCTCCCCGGCATTGTGAAAGCAATCTGGATTTGTTGGGTAACTGGGAGGAGGTAGTGCCCAGGAAAGCCCTTTCCCCCCAACTCTTGACAGTTGTCAGCTATAGGTTAAGGCTTTCTGAGAGCCACTTAAGGATGTTACTAACCAAACCAAGAACTCCTGATCAGTGGTCTCTGTGGGTTGAAGGCTATATAAAGTTTCTGTCTTGAGGCTTTCCTTTTATGCCTGCCCGTTTTTAAACATCAAAGCTACTAATAACAAGAGCCTTCTTTGAAACTTAATGTGAAAAGTTCCCTATTTTCAAAGGGTAGATAAACCAAGGGATGGAGCAGAGTCCTGAAATTGGCTTCTGCTTTCCCTAGCCATTATGTAGTTCACAGCTACCTACTAGAAGCTGAGAACTGGAAACTCTTTTTTCATGAAAATTTCAGTGAAAAAAAAATGAAGATAATTTTTCTGATCCTGCAATAACCTACACATATATTTCTAAATAATTTGTGTGTGTGACTGTTGGTTTAAAAGACATGGAATAGTCTTGCACCTTACCAGATAGGTCCAGAAGCACTGCTTACCCAAAGCCCATTCAGGTTTTGAAGATTGGGGGTCAATTTTAACAGGAGCTTGGAGACAGGATGTCCAGGAGAGGGCTTCCTACTGCCAGTGGACTTGATTGTGAAGGATAACATAATTGGTTCATTTTATAGCTACATTAATATTTAAATTGATATTTGAAAAAATTATCTTTACAATATTTCTTAATTCTTCTCCATTGTAATCTTCATCCAAATTGTAGCTTGTTAAAGACTTGAAAGCCTGGAACACTATTAAATAGATAGCCAAGATTCACTGATCATGTAAACACAGACTGTGTTTGAGGACTGGCATTAATAAATTGGTAACTAGACATGCTATTTCTTTGCTCTATGGAGCTTTCATGGAGAAGCAAAGAAGGTAAGAAAAGAAAGCGTGATACTGTTATATGCTCTTCAGAAGAAAGACCATCAAAAACTTTGTCCTCTACTTGCTATGAATCTTATTTCTGAAGGAATAATTATTTTTTGTTTGTATCTATAAAAAAGTTTATGTTTAAATCGTTGACTAAAGAAACAGAATGAAAATCTAGGATGGAAGTTATAGGAAGAGGAGTGTCTGAACAATTTTAAGTCTGTCAACCTATTTTAATTGTGCTTCACCAGTTGAAGCTAGAGTGATATGATTCCTTTATAGAGAGACAATCATGCTCAAACTTCAATTTGATGTTCTGTACACCTTCTGTAAAGATTAGGCATTAATGTAATAACATTGATTGAAAAGCTTGAATAGAATGATGGAGAATAGTCCTATTGAGTTAACAGTCAAAATGACAAATGGTACAATGTATTAAATGCATAATTAAATAAACAGATTAAAGAATTCTAAGTAGTTACAACTATACAAGTTGGTGGCGAATAAAAGAATATCATTAGCAACCAAGCTTCAGCGGTACTCTATAGACATGTACAAAGGACTGCGCTTCAAATAACAGAAAGGCACTAGAGTATCAAAAACTATTAACACAAGTTCTATACATACGATTCTAGATTTTTGAGTATGGATTTTACAGAAATTCTTTATGCTTTCAAAAGAAGATATTTCCTAGTATAGAACTTTAAAAGATACACACATATAATCATTTTAGCACAAAGCAGTTTCCTCTATACACCATAGGTCTGTAATTTAGAGCTGTTAACAAGATTAATATCTAAGTGACAATTAACACATTAAACGTGTGAAAGTGGGAGAATTTTTTAGGTCTGATTTAAATTCTACCAATTTACTGTTGTGAGTTTGATTAAAATTTGTGGCATAGTATATCTGAAATCCTGGTACCCTTCCTTCAAGATAAGATTTTTCTTTCGCCCTTTAAAAATTTTCCAATAATTAGTCCAGATGTGGTGGTTCAGGCCTGTAATCCCAGCTCAATTACAGCAGGAGGGAGGCAGAAGCATGTGGATCACTGTGGGTTTGAGACCAGCTTGGTCTATAAAATGAGTTCTAGGCCAGTCACAGCTAAATAGTTGGACCCTGTCTCAAAAAAAACAAACAAGTAAAAATAAAACCAAAAAGAAGAAAAGAAAAATTCTCCAAATAATTGAGATTATGTATTTATTTATTTATTTTGGGCAGGAAAATAAGCATGACTCACAACATGGCTGATTACTAGTAATAACAAACAATATCTACAGATGAGGTCAAGGAAGGAGAATTGCATACAGTCCCCTGTTTACGTATATGAATCTCTTGACTGAAAAGGAAACAGGAATCCTCATCATGGAATCCCTAGCATTATCCTTCCATCCTGAGCCATTTTTCCTGGAGCAGATTATTCATGCAGAATGTGGACACATGGTTATTTTTCTAGTTTAAAATCCACTGGTGGTTTCTTTATTTATGTGGTCTTTATTCTTTTACAGTTTCATTTATGTTTATGCTGAGGTTTCTCCCACTATTACACTTTCTCATTCTTCCCTTTCTCCTTCCCAGGAAGCCCCTCCTGCTTTGATGTCACTGTTTTGCTTTTGACTCAGAGTTTGATTGTTGCTGCTAGTGTGAGCATGAGTCTGGGGTTATTTACTGGAATATGGACAGTTTATTAGTAGCTACACCATTGAAAGTATCACTCTGCTCCACTCTACTCCCCCAGCACCCATTAACTGTCCATAGTCTCTCAGTGAGGGTTGGGGCCCTGTGAGCCCCTCCCCTGCCAATGATGGACTATTGATGGGTCCAGTCTCATTCAGGTAACCACAGCTGCAGGGAGTTCATGAGTGCAATGGCTATGTCTTTTCAGAAGACAGTTTTTCACAGCACTTCTCTCCAAACTCCAGCTCTTGTATTCTGTCTGTCGCTTCTGTAATGTTCCCTGAGACAAGATATCTTGTTTCCACTGGTGATTTATAATAAGCATTCTATAGCTACTGGATCAAGTATTCCCTTTGAAGAAACAAGTATTCCCTTTGAAGAATCCAGTTACTTCATATATTTTGGTGAAATTCTGCAACCAACTCTGGAGGTGTATTAGAATAGAATTTCACAGTTGGTGAAAACTTGTGGTTACTTGGAGAGTTGAACCCACACTCTGTCAAATGAACATTAGCTCACTCAGCTCAAGGAGGAAGTAGCATATTTCAAAACTGTGGATACGCTACTGAGCTGCATAAAGTATAGTGCATTTCAAAGCATCACGAAATTCATACTAGCTTTTGGTCATTAGGTGTTTTTGCAATGAATGAATTCTCAAAGAACAACTCTTGCTGCGACGTGGACATATGCAGAATTATTTTTTATGGTAAAAAGAGGTTCTCATAGCAGGAAAGTGTAGATTCTGACCTAGATCCAGGAGACTATGGAAATGTTTCCTGCATGAACAAAGGGCTACCACTATCAGCATTGAACTTAGGCATTTTGCATCAAGGGCTACAATGCTTGC